CCCTACGGAATTCTAAATACAGACTCCCTCGTCTCTGTAGCTGCCTTCATGGATGTGTTCTGCTTCCTCAGATTCGTTAGAGCTTTTCAGAATTAGACCCTGCCTGATTTTGCATCGAGAAGTAAATCCGTTTAGCTTTATAAAGAGAATTTTTGATTTTCTTCATTACCTTCCTCCTGCCTCCCAAAGCTTTGCATGGGCTGTGGATAGGCGTCTCCAAAAGAGACTGTCAGGTGTTCAAGCCAACACCAGGCTGTCTGCCCTTATGCCCCACAGAACACAAGAAAGTGAAGCAACAGAAGGCAAACAAACATTGTCTTGCCTTTTTAACTCTTTTTAAAAGATTTTCCAAGGAATTTATAAGGGGTGGGGATGAAAGGACGTTTGCTATAAACACTCTCCAGTACCCTCCTAGTCTGTTAGAAAACAAAAGTTAGTTGATGTCAGTTTTGTGGGCCAACATTACTGTTTATTATTGAAAACTATAGGACTCTGTCAACACATCCCTGTTTTTTCTAACAAGACTTCTAAGTATTCCAAATTAAATTTTGGTCCCCCAAAACACAAGCATTGGCCCCAGCTGGCCTGCAAGGCAGCTGTTATAGAGATGTGTCCCCGAAATGGGTAACAAGCTGCTATTATATCCTTAGAAGGATGCAGGAGAAAATGGCCAAACTAGTTACCTTGGGGTAAGGGCGGGAGACACTTATGATAGGCGGGTAAGAGACTTTTCTTCAATGTCTGTTTGAATTTGAATTTGAATTCAAATTGAATTTTGTGTCATGTGATTGTATTCTTCATTCAATAAATAGACATTTTTAAAGCAGGTCTACTTTATTATCTTAGTGGAAATAGCTGTGGTCCATAAGCTTTATTGATTTAGAAGGGAAAAAGGCAATCATAAAGGCAAACCAGAAAGAAAAATCTAAACAACTAAAAGTTTGTATCAACTCAGTTACCGGAGGCCTGCCATTGCCATATCTTGGACAAAGAAAAGAAATTGTAGGTGGCTGACAAAAATCACTCTGTTAACCGAGTATCTGCAGGCTAAATTCTTCTATTCGCTGGGAGATTACTTCTGTAACATGGAAGCAGGAACATGTTTTCACAAGTTACTGCCTTACGAGGCTCGCCATCTCTAGTAAGAGCCACCACCGCACCGCATTGGGAGCTTGGCCTTCGAGAATTGGGTCAGGCCGAACTTCGGAGTAGTTGGAAAGGAAAACCTGAAGAGCCCAGCGAGCACCCCGTAGGAAAAAGAAGGGATCCCAGTAGGAGACCAGGGTCCCATCCAATTGACTGAAGGACATTCCTTCATGCACACACAGAAATGGCCTTCAGAGGGTGCAGTTGGGAGGCCACACAGGCAGAGGGAAATTGGCAGAAGGAGACTCAGCACAGGTTAACTGCACACAAAGCACAAGTGGAGGGACTTGGGGACTTGGAATCTGGGAGTCGCTGTGACCTGCGTCATGGACTTCCAGGGGAAAGGCAAAAAAAAAAAGCAAGCTGGGCCGGAGTGTCAGCTACAGACGAGGGACCGCCATGGGGGAGGGCGCCTGTGAGCCAGATCTGGAATAGGACCAGCACAGGTGGCATCACCTGCTGGGAGAGGGTGCAGCAGAGGGCTGGGTCTCTGCAAGTGGAGGAAAAGCAAGTTGGACACATGCCAGGAAGGAAGGAGGAGAAAGGACCACAAAGTCCTCTTGGGCCTTCCCCGGAAGGTGAGGGCATCCTGATGAGAGTTTTCCCAATTTTTTTGTTATGTGTCCCCAAACCACGTTTCCTTAAACAGACCTATGTGTGTTGCCCTTGAAGTGTCCTCTTTATTTTCATTTTGAAGACGCACAGGTGTGCTGCAAGGATGTAACTGGAGACAAAGGTGGGCTCTGTTTCAGATCAGCCCCAGATATTTCTGCCTCCTCGCAGCAAATTTCCCAGCAGCACAATTACTGCTGCTCCTCAAGAAGTCTGTAATCCTGTTGCTCTGTCAGGTCGCTACGTCACTGTGGGGGTGATGGAATGCTCTGGAATTAGATAACTGGTGGTCACACAACCCTGTCAATACCCTAAAAACCACAGAATGTCACCCTTTTAAAGAGTGAATTTTGTGGCAGGTGACTTATATCTCAATTTTTTAAAAAGAAGAAACGTAAAATGGCTGTAAGCTTAGGAGAGAGAAATGGAGTCAGAGGAATAATCTGTGAAACCTGTTTAAGAGCTGGGACATCTGGTCACCGGTGATTTCTGTGACTTTGCCAGGAGGTATAAAGCTCTTGGGTGAGACACGGCCGGGCTGAGGGAATCACAGCCTCACTGTTAAATGTGTAGACAAACCGTCCACATGTTCTGATCAGACGATGCTCGACAGGAACCAGACCTCGGAGCCCAGGACTCAGCCAGGAGCATCTGACAGTGCTGCTAAGCAGCTGCTTTGGGACGGCCCTTTCACCAGATCCCCCTAAAAAGAACTCTTCTGCCTGTGTAACAACCAGAGGGTTTATCTCCCGGAGGCAATTGTGACTTGCTTATGGGTCAGAAGCAATTGATAACCTTGACCATCTGCAATTCGACCAACCACATATCCCCCTAGTTGGCCTTCGGCAGCGGCATTGCAGTAGGACTCACAGAGCACTGGGCTCAGGATGGTCCTGTTTGTCAGGCAAAATTTGCACCGGCCACTTCAGCTGTGCCATTTTGCCTCTGTTCATCGAACACTCACATCCATTACTGTGCCAGGCGCAGAGAAGGCGGCACCTGTGTGGAGAAGAAAGGGTGCCCATGAAAACAAGGGAACAGGAGACCAGAAAGGAGGGGTGGGTGATTTCCGTTGAGTCTTCTTATGCTCCCAGGCGCACCACACTCTCCTCCTGACCCTATTGCACGGTGAGGACAGGGGAGCCCCCGAAGGTATTTTTCCTGGTCCACGGGCACATTAGCCAGGCCTGGAAATCAAAGTCCAAATACAACCTTCTTGGCAACCAAGCCCAGAAGCACTTGGACCTTCTCACCCACCTCCAGGCCACCCGGTCCCACCCCACCCCCTCCTGCAAGCCCTTTGTCAGGCCAGCTGAGGTCAGAGAGGTCCAAGCTGGCTGCATCCCCCACCCACTCAGCGGCCTTGGCTTCCTGGGTGTGGTGCTCCTAATAAAACTTGCTGCCCTGTGGGTTAGCTCCTTGGCCGGGGATTGAACTCAGTCCGTCCGTCAAGGTGATAGTGAGTTTTCTATGCATAAGTAAAATAAACCCTTAAAAAAAATTGCTTCCCAACTGAGATGTTTTGAGGCTTCTTCTAAGTCATATTGTTCGTGCACCTTCCAGGGAAGCTCTTTCACATGCAGATGGAGGCCCTGAGCTGTCCTGGGTCTGCCCCCATGCTGCTAATGTGTCCATGCCCACCCTACCCCACCCCACATGCCCTTCAGACCTCAGTGCCTCTGAACTGTTCTGAAGAATGCCAAAGCCTGAGTTGGAAGAGATGCATGCCCGCCTGTGTTCACTGGAGCACTAATTACCACAGCCAAGGTGTGCAGACCAGCTAAGTGCCCAACGGCAGGCGAGGGAATAGAGGACGCGGTCTGTATGCACCAGGGAATATTACTGTGCTGTCAAAACAGATGAACACTTGCCATTGGCGACAACATGGAAGAGGGAAGAGAAAGACAACCACCGGGTGATTTCACTCATGTGTGACACACAGAAAACGAAACAGAGGAGCTGGCAAATCTAAACCCCAGCAAACCTTAGAACTCTGACTGCAGAATTGAGCTACCTGAGGGGAGGGGGCAGGAAATGGGAGAAGAAATGGGAGGGGCCCCATGGACTGGTGGGGGTTAGGGGTGCGTTGGTGGTGTGTGTGGCACGGAAAACATACACCTGACGAGGTGTGGACCTGCACCCCTAGCTCTTCTACAGCGTTGGAAAGCACCATCACCTCAGTGAAAAATAATATGATTAAAACATACCAAAAAAGTCTTGCTTGCCTCTTCCCTCTCGCCACTCGCCAGCCCCTTATTCCTCATCTGGCCGGCTCTGTTTATCACCTGAGCTGCTTCAGCTTAGGTGGGGCCGCCTGTGCCCTGGCGTGAGCTCACCGCTTGACTGTAGGCCCTCAAGGGCGAGGCTCCCATCTGTGGCTCACCTGGCCCTCAGCCATCTGGGCTCTAAACCTAGCGAATCCCCGTTCTAGCCTGCGTGGCTGTAGGAGTGTTTGTTGAGAAACTGATGAAGAAAAGCTTTTCTGCAGCAAACCTAGAAGAAAGTGGTCATGGGGGACTTGGCCTTGTTTTGGTTGCTCACTCAGATTTGGAAATGAATGCTGCGTTAGAGTCACACAGAAAGGAAGCAGAGGCCCCCGAAGCTGGCCGCTTGTCTGGGCACCTCGGCTAGCAGGTGGCCAGGCTCCTGGCTCCAAGCCCACCCGGTCCCAACAGCACCGTGCTGCCCGCCTTTGTGGAATCTCCCGCAAGTTCCACATTTAAAAGATCAGCAGTATTAAATGCCAGTTAAAAATCAGAGAGAGCTGGTAAGCCCAAATGTGGCTTCCCCAGCTGCAGCACATCCTCAGGGGCCTTGTCACGTTTCTCCTGCTGTTTTCTGACCCAACTTGATGAAACACTGTCACCACATGAGACACAGAAGTGGCAGCGATTGTGTGTGTGGCTCACGCAAAGCTGTTTTCAAGCGGCTGTGGATGATGCGTGTAAATCTTCCCTTCATCCGGTGTATTATCCAGAGCATAACCACATTAACTTCTGAATGCTTTCTTGGATTTTCAAACCAGTATCCGTTTATGCTTTGTACATTTTTAGAGGGACATGGGCTAGAATAGGAAAGAGACATTTGGGAGGGCGGGGGTGGAGGGTGATGCTACCTAGAGCACGGTAAGGGTGTGTGTGGATTTTCTTACCGCTTCCAGAATGTACAACAGTGGGTGACTTTTTGTTTTACCCAGAAAGACCTTCTATGTCCTCACTACCTGATGTCAATTTTCCTTTCAGGTGACTTTGCAGATCACCCCTCCTTGCACCAGTGAGAGGCATTACGAGCATTTTGGACGATGCTGTAACAAGTGTGAACCAGGTGTGTACCTCCTGCCACCTTTCATTGCCCCTCAAAGTTGGGCCGGGCTTTTGTTACCTGTGTTTTCACCTAAGGAATGATTTCTCTACTGTCCGAGGAAAAACACACATTGGGTAGACTCTTGATCGGTGGCGGCAGGTGGTGGTGGCTGTCGCTCTGAAGACAAAAATCTTTCCCTAGATAAAATCACTTAAAAATCCAAAGCAGTTTCAGAAACTGGATTAATTCCTTTTGGTACACAGCTCACCAAAACCCTATTTCTCAAGATGGCAGGATGGTTTTTAAAACCATATTTTATCATTCAAAACTCTCAAGATAGGAAATGCAAAATATAAAATACTTATTTAAAATTACTATTTTCACACGTTGTTGGGGGGCATTCCTGGAATTGCTGCTGCTGAAGTGGGCCCCTGCCCTATTGACCTCCCCACGCACCTGCCGCCGGAGGTGGACTGAGCCCCAAGTCCATGGGCCTCGCCCATCACTCGAGAGGGAAGGGGATCTTTTTTTTTTAATTTGAATTTATTTTTTTTAAATTTATTTCTATTTATTTATGCATGCAAGATCTGGGGTGTAGGCCAGAGGTGTGTGGGGTGAGAGGATTCACCAGAGACAGTGGGGAACAGAACAGGTGGATTGACTGAAGTACACTGCTGAGGGGAGCAGCGGGCGAGACAGGAGAGGTCTGCTGTGCCATGTGGGTTGCTCCCTGGCTGGCCAGGGTTCGAACTCATGCTGCAGTGGCTAGCGGTAGCCTGATAGCACTGAGATTTTAGCCCCTGTGCCACCAGGGAGGCCCTAAATTTATTTTCTTATATTGTTGTTCACTTTTGTACACTATTTGATTTCTGCCCTCAAGTGTAGTCCCCATAGATCTCCACCAGCATAGCCCCTGTGACCATCACCACAGTCCCTTGGGCTCTTCCCCCCCATTTGACCCCTCGCTTCCCCTCTCCCCTCCGGATGCCTCAGTTACGGTGAGCTTGCAAGTTCTGTCCTTTTCCTGGTCCTTTGTTCCGTGTTCCCATAGTCCACCTATAAGTGAAACCATTTGGTGTTTCTTTTTTCCTTCTAACTTAGTTTGCTTAGCAAAGTCCCTTCCAGCTCCATCCATGTTGCTGCAAACGGCATGAGTTTATCGGGGGCGGGTGTCTTTGAGGAAACTGTAGTGACCTTATAGCAGACCCTTCAGGTAGTTCAGCTACAAGTTTATCCTGGATGTACAGAATCAGGATTCAGTGTGTGTGTGTGTGTGTGTGTGTGTGTGTGTGTAGGTAGGTATAGGATTCTCTTTTCAAACTAAGTTAACCGGAGCCTGTAGTATATATCGAGCAATGGAAGTTAACTGTCTAGATGGGTGGTGAGGGGACTTTGCAGACAGGATGGGAGTGTGAAATGAAGTTCCCCTTGCTTTGCCCCTGGGCAACCACTCAGGTACCAGTTTGAAAACCATCCTTGCATTGTTTAGTCAGCAGAGGTTTGGGGTGGAAAAGGTGCTCTTTTACTTAGAAGAGCTAAGGGCCTGCCGTGACCAGAGGCAGAGCAAAGCCCAGGGAGGGCATCAGACCACATGGGCCGAGCAGGAGCCCCAGGGAGCCATGACCTTGTGCTGTGACTGTGCCTCATGTACCAGCATGTATGGGGGTGTGCGTGGCGGGGGCGGGGGTTGCTTCCTGGACTAACAATCCAGGAAATCAGTGTGTTTTTGTTGTTCTACATGCTGGTGATGGGCTTTCTTTTTCTTTTTGCTTTTTTCTTGATCGGTGCATTCTCTCCCCTTCTCACCAAAGGAAAGTACTTGTCTTCCAAGTGCACTGCCGCCTCGGAGAGCGTCTGTCTGCCTTGTGGCCCGGACGAATACCTGGACACCTGGAACGAAGAAGACAAATGCTTGCTGCATAAAGTGTGTGACACAGGTGAGGCTGGCCCACAGCACATCAGTGGGATGTGTGAACAAGTGATATTTTTAGATATAACACACTGTCCCTTTTGGAGGGTGTAGGGAAAAGTGTTGATCATGGGCCCCCCAAAAGAATGTGCTGCTGATCCTGGAAGCTCTAGGTTAAAATTCCTCATTTACAACTCTTGTTCTGGAAGATGTCTGTGTTGCCATTAATCATGGAACAAATCTTATAATTGGCAAGCTATGTCCTCAGTGTTTCCTGGAGTGTTGTGCTATTAACATGCCAGGGCATGAAGGAAATCCTCCAACACCCTCTGTGTTCTTGTAGGCTGCAAATGATCAAACAAGCCCTAGATTGATAAAGTTTAATAATAAGACGTGCATCTCCTATATACATGGGAGGGACCCAACTTGACTGAGCACATTGCCACCTGGCTTTAGGTGCCATCTTAAAGAACTTAGCAAACATAGTATGAGGAGAAAGGGAAAGCTGTGAGGGGCTTACGCAGGAAGGCACAGTAAGCAAACATGCAGATATACATTTTGCTTTCCTCACTGGAAAAAAAGAGATTAGTTCTTCCGATACAGTGAGGACAAGGCCAGAACAGAGAGGTTTACATATAAATATCTTTTTTTTAAAGATTTATTTATTTATTTATACAAGCACTGGGTACAGTCAGAAGCATGGGAGGGTGAGAGAATTCACCAGAGCCAGAGCAGGGAACAGAACAGGCAGACTGATGAAGTACACTGCTGAGGGAAGCAGCGGGCGGCAGGAGAGGTCTGTCCAGCCATGCGGGACCCTCGCCAGCAGCCGGAGATCGAACCGGCGCTGCAGAGGCTGCGGGCAGCTTCACAGCCCAGCGCTCAACCGCTGAGCCACTGGAGAGGCCCATAAATATCTTTTTTTTTTTCAAAAGCAACTGCCACCTAGCCTTTTGAGCCCCCTGCATGAAATCAATGTCTTCTTAAAATGATGTCTTTTGGGGTGGCAGATTTTTGCTTCCCTGCCTGATCTTCATTAAAGCCACGATAAGCCCATTTTAGAGATGAAGAAACCAGGACTGAGGTTCCCTTCTGTCATATTTTTCCTTTTTCCATAAAGCGTGTGTGTTGAAGAAGCCACGTAGTTAGTCCCGTGGAGTTTCCACAGCCTGTACTTGGCTGCTTGCATTCCCTCGGTGTCTTTAACACATTCTTCTGTCTCATATATTTCCTCTGAGGTGGTTGGTAGATCTAGAAGACTGATAGATTCTGCTTTGGTTTTTTGTTGCTTTATTTTGTTTTATTTTTGGCAGATAATCAGAGCCGTACAATGCAGTAGGTCAGGGATTAGATCACAAGATGCTTATCTCACTTGGTGCTTCTAGTAGCTGCTGATGATCGTGCCCTAAATCCACTTTCATGAGGTGCCACTGACAGTGATGTTCTTCTATGGTCCTTCATTTATTTGCTGGATTGCTTTATAAAGAGAACCTTCCCCCATCAACTCTGTTACCGCGAAGTGCAGGATATCCAGGGAAGGCAGAACGAATGCTTGCATCTTTGCTTTCCATGTTTTGAAACAATGACTTGATCACCAAGTATGGCCAAAGGGTTTGTATGAATATGATGACCCCCTGAATTGAGATGAACTCCATTTAATGCAGCTACTAATTTTACTGGTGCTCAGTCAGTCACATGGGTCCCAAGTTCCCTGAGTCTTGATACCACTCCTGACACCTTTAAGAGCTTGCTGGCCTCCAGGCTCATCTTGGGACACTTCCTGCCCTTCACCTGGAACCAGACAGTTCTCCAAGGATCTGTGATTGCTTTTAGCAGAACTTCTGATTGCATGACATTAGGCCGGCAGTTAAGGCAGCTCATTGCCACTAGACTGAACCCTGTTTGTTCCCCTCTCCCCGGGGAAAGAACTAGGGCATAAGTATATTTTACTACCATAATTTTGCAACTATTTCCAAGACAAGTGGCAGGTTTGGGCAAGAGAAGGGAACATGGAAACTCCACTGAGCCGAAGCATCTGATCAAGTCTTTTTTCTTTCCCACTGCTCAGTAATGACCTTGACTCACAGCTGTCCCTTGGAAATACAGACTCATTCTCTCTACTGCCAACATTGATTAATGCCCCAAACCTGGTGCATGAAGACATTTTAAAATATGTCAATATTGTTCATTCCCACACGAGCTGATATTCATTAACATGTGGGTGGGACCTGGAATTAGAACTTTCCAAGAAGTGACATGAGTGTGGTGTGTGCCGGTTCAGGGATATCGTCCTGATGCTGCCAAGCTGACCTGGGCTTCGAGAATGGACAGGGGAGGGAGTGGAGCTTGTTTCTCCAGTTCACCATGCTGGTCTGAACAGGGATAGGAATCGTGTCCTCCCTGCTGGCTCTGAGACCCAGAGGAGGATCAGGCATCAGGGTGCGTATTCCTCACCCCCGGGAACTCTGTCCCATGCAGGTCAGGCTGCCACCGCAGACCAAGTGGCCTGAACGACAGTAGTTTCTCCTAGTCCTGGAGGCCAGATGTCCAAGGTCAGGGGCTCAACACAGTTGGGTTCTTGGTAAGAGCCTCTTCCCTGTTTCAAGGGAGGTACTTTCTTGTTCTGTTCTCACATGGGAGAGAACACAGAAAGGAAGCAAGCTCTGTGTCTGTTCCTGTAAGGTCACTAACCCCATTCCTGGGGGCCCCGACCTCATGACCCAATCACCTCCCCAGACCCCCATCTCCTTATAGCATCACTGTGGGGGTTGGGATCGCAACCTATGAATTTTGAGGGGACACAAACATCATCCATAGCAAACTCCTGAAAGCACTGAGGGGTATAGAGCTCAAGGGCCACTGATAATCCAGGTAGGGTGAGACCCCAAAGGGTTAAATGGCCCATTTTAAATATTATCGTGTGCATTGTGTGTGTGTGTGTGTGATTGCACCTGATCCTTGTGATTCACAGAATTTGCATTCTTTAGAGTCACCTCAAACACTGGACTAGAAAATACTGAGCCACTGGTCTCAGGGAAATACTGGATGAGGTTCCCGGAGCCACTGCTCACCATGTTTTTATCAACCATCAATAGCTGTGGGGCATTTCTGTGTAAAAGCACCTTATTTAATAACTATTTTGATTCATTAACACTGAAGCAGGCACCCAGCGGCTCTGGAACTCAGGCCTGAGCCAAGTCTGCCTAGCACACAGCTCCTTGTTAGGCACACAGAACCTTCTCGAGCTTGGGAAATGCAGGAGGCTCTCAAGGACTGGGCTTGCATTGCAAAGAGTGAAACATCACTGAAAGCACAAAACAGAGCATGAAATGCACCATAAAAAGGGAACTTGCTTCCTGTCTGACAGCTGACACAGAAGGCAGACATCACCTTATCTGACCTCTGGGACCCAGCATGTCCCCGGTGGGGTGTCCTACCCATGCCCCAGAGGGCTGCAAAGCAGGAGTGTTGGTTGTGTTGGTGATTAAGTTTGGGTGAGCAGGCAGAATTGCAAATATCACAGACACACATACCTCTAGTCCACAAACACTGGAAAGAGCAGATTTGAGGTCAGAAGGAGAACCCCGTGCTGTGTTGTGAGATTAGAGACTAGTGACAGACGTGGGGGCCCAAGTGTGTGGGGAGAGATTCATGTCCTCACTGTACTTTCCCCACCTAATTACACAGTGACACCCCTTTTTTGTGACTGAATAATTCTGTGGCCCTGTAGGGTCCCAAGATGAACCCCAAATCTCCTGAAATCCTATTAGGTGCAATCTAGCATTCATGTTAAGAATATTTATCCCATTTGGGGGCCTCCCTGGTGGCACAAGGGGTTAAGCACCGCACTGTGAAGCAATCCCCAGCCTCTGCAGCACGAGTTCGATCCCTTTCAGGTCAGGGAGCTGCCCACGTGGAGCAGCAGACCTCTCCTGTCTTGCCCACTGCTCCCCTCAGCAGTGTATTTCATTAGTCTGCCTGTTCTGCTCCCCACTCTGTCTCTGGTGAATCCTCTCACCTCCCACACCTCTGGCCTGTACCCCAGCTCTTGTGTGCAAAAATAAATAAATCTTTAAAAAAAAAAAAGAATATTTATCCCGCTTGAATGGACTAAGAAGAAGGTGCGAAGTCTAGTTGGCATTATCCAAAACAGCCAATCACCAGGAATTTACTCTTCCTGCTAACTTGAAAATTGCCTTTAAAAAAAAATCCCACAAGACTTAATTGTTGGGGGGCGGGGGGAACCTTCTGGGACGCTTAGTGCCAGCACAGGAAGTGTGAGGGGAACTTGGAGTTCTTGACACCTAGTGTCTGGATGGATGATTCATCCCTTGGAGCGCTGCGCACCCCTGGGAGGTTCGGGGGGGGGGGGGGGTTGGGGGGGGCGGAGGGGTGTTGGGCTTCCCCAGCCTCCCTTCTGCTGCTCTCTCCCGCAGGCAAGGCCCTGGTGGCGGTGGAGCCCGGCAACCGGACGGCCCCCCGGCGCTGCGCCTGCACCTTGGGGTACCACTGGAGCCGGGACTGCGACTGCTGCCGCCGCAACACCGAGTGCGCGCCCGGCTTCGGCGCCCAGCGCCCGGGTACGGCGGGACACCCCGACACCCAGCCGCCCTTGCTGTGTTCTCTGCGGCCGCCAGGTGGCGCTGGAGGAGCTTGAGGGCCCCCGAGATTGGGGTCCGGTTCACCACCTAGTGGGGTGGGCGGGGAGGGGTTGAAACCTTAGGGTCCCCACTGACAGGGCAGCTCAGCCCGCAAGGCGGGGGTCCTCAAACCTTCTTTAACATGCACAGCCCCCACCCTGGGAGAATATGGAAAAATCGTGCACCCCCTGACTTAGTTTTAGGTTGACATCTACAATTTTTTATGATAAATTTTAAGAGTTGCTGAGATCTCAGTTTCCGGGGAATTATAACCGCAGTCACATTTTGTAAATGTTCTATGGGCTCTGAACACCAAAGCACCTTCATCCCCATCAGCATCCACTTGGAAGCGCTCATCCGTCTCCTGCGCGCTGCGGCTGCAAATGCTCACAAGGGCTAATCGCCTTCACCTGTCAGAAATTTTGCATCCTTTTCTTTGATTTGTGTTCAGTTCACCTGCCCCACAGATTTTATCCTAATGTGTTTTTATGCTTGGAGGGCTTGAGGCACCTTTTCATACTCTTTTACAGAAAAAATAAAAATTGCACCTATTGGAAATCTTAATTTTTAAACCATGTCCTGTGCCTCAAGGTCTTAAGAGGTAAAGACATGTCTTCTAGACTGAGTTGTCACTGCAGCTATTCTCACACGGTTGGTCAAAATGAACATATTATGTTTTGCTCTATTATAATTATCGAAGCAGAAGGATTTGAAGTTCATGAGTGGGATTTTTTTTTGATAAGAGAAAAAGCCATACAGAAATTCACATGACCTGTACCTGCTATGTACGTGGGAGAGACTCAGCGTGACTAAATCATTTATCCATGTGTAGGGGCAGGATGGGCCACTGAGCAGGTTTTCTGATCCAGCAGGTGGGTAAAGGAGGACAGTCCTGGAGTCCTCGCTGGCTTTTTGCAGGCTTTTATTGCGGTTTACCAGGTACACAGCAGGCAGGGGTAATGGGGGGCCCGGAGGCTGGCAGGCCTCCCAGCCCCCAGCAAGTCTTCACTCTTTCTGGGCTCTCCGACCTTCTCTCTGCTTCTCTAGTTCTTCTCTCTGCTGGTGTCCCCGTGACGCCGCCCTTAAAAGCCCAGTCTTAGCCCAGGTGAATCCCATCTACCTATGCCCACACCCCACTCCAGGTGCCCGCCATCAGGCATGCGTTCAGGACTGCAGGGTTCCATCATCTATCCTAATAGTGGGAGGGCAGAAAAGCTTGATACTTTTACCTTACCCTACACCCTGGTTAAATATTACTTATTGCAGAAATGCAACAGAGTGAACATCACTTCTGTTTCCTCTAAGTGCTGCGAAACTTGTTCACCTGAGTAGCTGAAATGTCAAGGAAGGACATCAGTTATGGATGTCACAACTCTCCCCCAGCACCTCAAGTTATGTGTCCAGATCACATGGTGTGACCTCAAAATTGGTAGTAAGCTATCAGATAATCATTTTGACTTTAATATATGCAGATGTATTCCAAAGCAGGCATTTCAAGACATAAAACAAATGATCATTTATACCTATGAATCTGTCACTTAAAGACCTCTTGGTTTAACCAAAACACTTGGACAGGGTCTGGAAAATTAAAATATTATTTATTTCAATTCATACTGAGGACAGTGTCCATCACAGCATCTAAAAGAGCTCAATCAGTCTTTGTCACCTAATGCTGTGACTGCACCAGTCGAGTGTTCTCTTGGCAAAAGTCTGACTTGGTTTTTTAATGATTGAAGTAAGTCTCCCCCTGCTGGCCAGCTCCCTTCCCCATTCTGATGCTAAGACTGACAAGCCCCAGGGCCTTTGCACAGGTTTGTCATCTGCTCCACGGAGGTGTTGCTCCCTTTCCTGCCTCTCTTCTGGTCTCTGACCTGCCTGCTCTGTCCCTTGGGGGTGGTACATTCTTTGGCAGTAGGTGGAGGCAGGAGGGGATGATGTGGAGGTAGGAAAATATACTACCTGGCAGTGTATTTGAATTCAGAACAACTCAGTCTAGTCCTACTGCCCCCTCTGTATTATCACCCAGTGCCCTTCATAGCTAGGAAGCCCGAGGCTGTGCTAAGTCTGGTTGCAGGTTCTCTGCAATCACCAATATTCCTGTGTGTTGCTGGGTTCGGCATCTCCAAGGTTTGGCACCATGTGGCAGGATTTGCGTGGGTGAAAAATGTGCCTTCTGCTGTAAAGTGGGAGAAGCAGGATTGTGAAGGGGGAGGGGCTGAAGACCTGCAGGGGCTGCTGGGGGAGGGCAGTGTTCTCAGAGGAGATGTGGGCACACGTGTGGAAAGCCAGGCCCTTGCAGCTGGAGTGCCTCGTGGCCCTTGCAAAGTCTCTTTGTTTTTAAGGGCTGCTCTTGTCGAGTGTGCTTCCGTGGAGCTGTCTGAATGAATGTGAGTGACTAGTTTTGTTGACATCATTTCAAGGAAAATCAAATGGCAAGATTGGGGAGGGGGCTACTCACCAAGGCAATGGCAGAACTCAAGAATGTACTTGATTTTGAACAGAGAAATGTAGTGTTTTGCTCATAAAGATAAATCCCACATGTGCTACTAATGTCAAGAGTAACTTGTAGTTTGGGCACCAGCCATTTGTCAGGTTATGAGATCACCCAGAAGCCAGTGTTCTTTTTTATTGGAATGGCCAAAGGTTCACCCCGTGCTGAACACGGCAAAGGTAACAGACATGGGAAATCACAATAAAGTAGTCTATGAAGACTGAGCGCACTGAAGAATGGGTCCTAGCTAGGCTCAAGTCCTGCTTTCAGCATGGATTGAGCCAGGGCATCAAAATCCACCCCCCCCCACTTGTATTTGTGTTAATAGTTTTAATAGTTTTACCAGAACACAGCCACATCCACCTTTTTTTTTTTTTAATATTGTCTCTCACTGCTTTTGTGCTTTCAATAGTTGTAGCAGAAATCAGAATTTTCACAAAGATATTTACTGGGTGGTCCTTTATAGGAAAAGTTTGCTACCATCGCTTGGTTGAAAAGAGACTCAAATTGTTTTATCCCCTTTGGGGAAGGGGTTGTGTTTGGTTTCGTTTGAGAAAATGTTGTTATCACCCCAGTACTTGGAGATTTGAGGATTTGAGTGATGAAATTAAGCTGGTCAGAAGGAGTCGGGATAAAACGTTTCCCGAGAAAGAGGTTAAAGGAATGCCACTGTCTGTAGATGCAGGCTGACAGAGGTCCTGCAGCTGCAAGGGGAGAGCAGGAGGGTGCAGGGTTAAAACTAGCCATCAGCAGGCTCCCTGCTGGAGAGCAAGATGTTAGTGGCCTGTGAAGGGTCGGCACCAGAGGGCTGGACCTCAGTGACCCGGGCAAGAGGCCTGACATAGAGCCAGTCTGTCTGAACCTGCTGCTGGGGTCCGCACAGGAGCCCCCAAAGCTTGTGGAGCTGAAGCAAGCAGCCCCAGGGGGAGGGCGGGGCAGGGTGGCTCCTGACTTCCCCTCACTCTAGAACATCATCCTGGCCGATCTCTAAGTGTCCTCCTTGTTTCTCTGTGTTTCTTTTGTCTGTTTTTTTGACAGTGCAGCTTGACAAGGACACGGTATGCCAGCCCTGCCTTGCAGGCCACTTCTCAGATGCCTTCTCATCCACAGAAGAATGCAAACCCTGGACCAAGTAAGTGATGACAAAAGAGCGAATGTGGCTTCCCATGTTCAAAACGTGACAGTCTGACTGCAGCAGGGGGGCGTAAGCCAGGCCATCAGCTCTTCAGCCTGAACGCGACAGGCGCTTTGTTTCACTTTTTAGATTCAGTCGTCTGAGGCCTTTGACTTCAGTGGCTGCTTTTTTTCCTTTTTCAAGCTGTAATTTATTGAAAATTACTTATGATATTTATTACTGTTCATTCACCACTCTTTTCCTGGCTTCCCAACATCACTGGCTTATTTCGTGTGTGTGTGTGTGTGTGTGTGTGTGTGTGATGAATGGGCATATAGAATCATTTATATAAATGTTTGCACACTGTAAACACATTTATATAAATGTATATATATTTGCACACTGTAAATCATTTATATAAATGCTTGCACACTGTAAACACATTGTTTTTCCCCATAGTAAATCTTGAAGGGGGCTCCTTCCATATTAGTTCACTTACATCTTGGTGGCTTTTCATAGCCGTGCAGTCATCCATTGTAGAGATGCACCATCATTCATGTAGTAAGTTCCCCATGGATAGTTGTTTAGGTGGTTTCCAGTCTTCTGCAGTTATAGACAATTTTGCAATGACTCACCTCACATTTTATTGTCCTCCACTGCTCCACACATGCATGTATCGATGGCCATTGGGGTCATTCCACTGCATGCTTGTTGAATACTGAGTGTCAGTGTAATGATTCTTTCAGTTCCTGACATATTACTCCTCATCAAATATTTGTTTTCTGTTCTACTTGCCCAAGTTTTTTGTTGAAAAGATTTTCTGAGTTTTCACCGTGGAAAGAGCAGTCATCAGAAGTTATCACGGCAGTGGAAGCATTTGGAATCTTCTTTACTGAAGATGCCCATCCACTCCCAGAGAGGTCCTTAGGGAGCCCCCATGGCTGTGTCTGCTTATTCTCTTGCCTGCCTGCACCATTTTCTGCTCTTTTTTTTTTAAAGAGTTATTTTATTTTTATTTATTTATTTATTTTATTTATTTATACAAGCACTAGGTACAGTCAGAAGCGCAGGAGGGTGAGAGAATTCACCAGAGCCAGAGCAGGGAGCAGAGCAGGCAGAAGGACCGAAGTACACTGCTGAGGGGAGCAGCGGGCAGCAGGAGAGGTCTGCATGCCATGTGGGACCCTCCTCCGGTTGCCGGGGAGCAACACTGCAGAGGCTGCGGGCAGCTTCGCAACCCAGCGCTCGACCGCTGCGCCACTGGGGAGGCCCCATTTTCTGCTCTTTATGGGAGGCCCTGGCACTGCAAATGTCCAAGAAGACCAAAGTTCTTCTCCAGAAGGATCTAGCAATCTAGTGGAATAGGGGTCTTTGTAGTTCTTTAAAAGACAAGAATACAGGGCCTCCCTGGTGGTGCAAGGGGTTAAATGTCAGCACTATGAAGCTCTCTGAAGCCACTGCAGCACAAGTTCCATCCCTGGTCAGGGAGCTGACTCACATGGCACAGCAGACCTCTCTTGTATCCCTGCTGCTCCCCTCAGCAGTGTATTCCAGTCAATCCACCTGTTCTGCTACCCACTCTGTCTATGGTGAATAATCTCACCCCCTATACACCCACAACACTCTGGCCTATACCCCAGCTCTTGTATACATAAATAAATAAAATAAATCTTTTTTTAAAAAGACAAGACTACAAGCCAAAGTACTTAAGCCCCTTCCTGCCCACAGCTGCACGACCCTTGGAGGCTCCGTAGCTCATCCTGGAACGGATAAGTCAGACGTCATGTGCAGCTCTTCTCTGCCATCCAGGAAACCGCCAAATGGTATGTTTAAAAGAGTGGGTTGGTTAGTCGATGAGCCCAAGTCCAGGTAGCTCTTCTAGATGCCACCTGAATCACACCTCACCTGGGGGCTCATTTTCCCTTTTCAACTCATCCTGTCCATGGTCAGCACATTGTCATCAGTGTCTTAATTCCAGTTTGTTGTTCCCTTGATTTTTCCTCCTAAGCTGGGATGGAGAACTGATATATTCATATATGCAAAAAAAGAAAAAGTAGAGTTGGACACATAAGTCAAAATGCCCACACAGGCTGCAATGGTAGAAGTCCTGATGAGGGGGTCTCTGAGGGATTTTGGTCACCAGCCAGCATTAGCAACTTGATAGAATATATCTATTTATGGGACATTTGGTAGATCAGATGAGCCTTTGGTCCAGTTTCAGAGGTTAGCAGAAAGTCGATAGTTACTGGTGAGGGCTGTTTCCTCTGGTGAGTGAGATGGTGTGAGGTGGGCCCAGATCTCCTAGGAGATGACAAGAGAGTCTGGAGTGAGGCCAGAGAACTGCAGCCACAGAGCAAGGACACGGCACTCATGAGCTTTAACGAGAAACCAAGGGTGTAGACATTTTAGGAAACAGCAGGACATGACTGGGTGTGGACATGGGATTAGACAATCAGAGCAGCATTTTTAAAAGCCCCTTTTAAAAGTAACATTAAAAGTAACTGAGGTAGGGCCTCCCCTGGTGGCGCAGGCAGTTGAGCGCAGTGCTGTGAAACTGTCTGCAGCCTCTGCAGCGCTGGTTCAATGCTGGCTGGCAGGCGAGAGTCCCACATTGCGCAGCAGACCTCTCCTGTCTCACCCGCTGCTCCCCTCAGCAGTGTATTTTGTCACTCTGCCTGTTCTGTTCCCCACTCTGTCTCTGGTGAATCCTCTCACCCTCCCACGCATCTGGCTTGTACTCCAGTTCTTGTATAAATAAATAAATCTTTAAAAAGAAAAGTAACTGAGGTAATAAAAAAATTATATTTAATAAGAAAGAAGGAAAGAAAATACAAGGAACTAGTTCACATAAACCAAGAGTTAAGATGACAAAGGTCCTAGGGATGCCATGATGAGGGGGGTGAAGGAAAACACAGAGCTCACACTGTGTGGATGGGGCCCTTCTTGGTGGGTGTGGTTCTGGGTTAGGACCAGGACACCCACAGCCTGGAGCAGTCATGGTGGGGGCTTCCTTTCGCCCCAGAGGCTGTCCATGTGGAAAGCTTGAGGTGTTTCGTCAGGAAGCACAGACAGATGGCAAGGCTGTGTAAACATGAAATGGATTGTTCCAAAGGAGAAACATTGACATGGGGTCCCGGGCTGACCTAACCCGGAGAGATGCAGGAGAGCAGGATGTAAGCAGGACAGACCCACTGTCAGGCCAGGAACCCTCCCTCCCCTATTCCAGGCCAACATCCTTGACCGTGGGGTTTGCTTTAAAGGCTTTTTCTTGTATACTTTAAGGGTACAATAAACTGGGGCCTCCCTGGTGGTGTAGGGGTTAAAGACACAGTGCTATTAAGCTATAGCCAGCCCCTGCAGCACGAGTTCAATCCCTGGCCAGGGAGCTGACCCATATGGCACAGCAGACCTCTCCTGTCTCCCCGCTGCTCCCCTCAGCAGTGTATTTCAGTCAGTCTGCCTGTTCTGTTCCCCTCTCTGTCTCTGGTGAATCCTCTTACCACCCCACACCTCGGGCTTGTACCCCAGTTCTTGTATGCATAAATAAATAAAAATAAATCTTTTTTTAAAAAAGAGTACAATGTACTAATCTTTAATGTCATTTTTTTCTCATTTTCTTCCAAAACAGAACCCCAGATCTACTTGCCGGGTTTAATCATCCTGCTTCTCTTCACATCTGTGGCAGTGGTTGCTGCCGTCATCTTTGGTGTTTACTACCGGAAAAAAGGGAAGGCACTCACAGGTATTGTGAACACTGGTGAAGATTAATCTTAATGAAAATAAGTGCATTCCTAGTGACGTACTTCAGAAGATCTGTATCTCCCCTCACGGGTAAGGCTGAGTCCTGCAGGGACAGTCAGCTTTAGGGCAGCGATGGCAGGACACTGCCCAGCCATGGGGTCAGCCAGTGCCTCCCAGGGTTGGAGACAGGAGCTGAGATCTGAATGACTTGGAGTGAACAACGGAACAGAAAGTTGGAAGCTGTGTGAGACGAAACTGGAGAGGGAGGCCTGGCCCATGGTGCACCCTGCAGGCAGGCCTGGCTGCAGTCTTTGCTCTGTACCTTTTGCAAAGGGAAGTAAAAAACCACTCAGCTGCATTTCAGGTAGACAAAAAACTGGGGACTGCAGCTGGCATGGCTTCGGATACCCCAGTGTAGAGGACCTTTGCAATAATCCAGGAGAGAGATTATCACAGCAGCTCTGAATAAGTTTTAACTCTGTGTACAAATACTGTAGGACCATTTGCGATTATTTAGTACTATTCCTACAAGAAAAGTGCTGCTACTCTCCTTTCACTGCAGCAACTTTATTTTTTTATGTAATTCACAATGATAGACAAAGAACAAGAAAATGATGATGCTGGTGATATCAATAACTGATAAGTATTTAATAGCCATTATGTGCCAGCACTGCTGTGTACATTTTATGTTTCACATGTGCTAATTAAATCTCAGCAACACTGTAAGGTGGGCCCTATTGTTTCTTCATTTTTGGGGGAGGGATTTTTTTAAAAAGATTTATTTATACGAGAACTGGGATACAGGCCAGATGTGCAGGAGGGCGAGAGGATTCACCAGAGACGGAGCAGGGAACAGAACAGGCAGACTGACGAAATACACTGCTGAGGGGAGCAGCGGGCGGCATTTCTCACATGCTGCGCCATGTGAGATCCTCGCCGGCCGGCGGGGATCAAACTCGCTCTGCAGAGGCTGCGGACAGCTTCGCAGTGCGGTGCTCAACTGCCTGCACCACCAGGAAGGCCCTGTTGTTTCTTCATTTTATGATGAGACTGAGACTCAAAAATTAAAAGGACAGAGTCACATGATAACTATCATTAGCCATTATGATGAACTGTGGGCAATGAATTGATGACCTCCCAATGTTGTCTCTATAAAAAGTCAACATGAAATTTTCATTGGAGGTAGAAAATCTATTAAACTCACATCTTTTTCTTCCCATACAATACTTTGCTAGTCTCTGGTAGTCAAAGAAAAATTGTTGAAGGAATGTGGTCATCTGTAGCTATTTTAGTGACTCTCCAGTCCCTGATTTACCAATGGAACATTAGCGGGTCGTACTTTGTTTGGCAGTTAAAAATGTAAGTAAATGTCTTTTAAAGCATTTTCTTAATTTTTCCCCAGAATTATATTTTTGTGATTTTGATCTTTCAGGATTGTGATTTTCAGGATTTTAAACTTTAGGGATTTTGATCTTGGGATTTCAGCATTCAGGATTATGCCATTGGGGACTTTCGGGATTACCGTTGGCACCAATTTTACTTTCATTAGAAAGTTCTGCTTTCGATAGGAATGACATGTCTTCATAAAATTAAATTGGTTGATTTTCTTTTAAGTGTTTTCACCCTTAGGAACTCTCAGCTAAATGCTTAGAGGTGGTTGTGCTTAAAGATAATATTGAACCGACGAAGTGGTCATGGATACTGAGAACTAGGAAATAGTCTGAAGGCTTTCTCCCTGCTTTGTTTTTCTAGCTAATTTGTGGCACTGGGTCAATGAGGCATGTGGTCGCCTACGAGGAAACAAGGTAACTTTAAAAGTTTTATAGCCCTCCTTTAACTGCTTTGAAGAACTTGGCTGTTGTCAGTCAACTAACTGACAGAGAAAGGGGTACATCCTTAGGCCGAGAGCACCCCAATCGCTGTATTGACTTTAACAGAATCACTCCAGCCCAAGCCAGTGCTCATTCTAAATGCCTGTTTTCTTCCCATTTGCACATATATTATTTATATCGTATTTTAGCACCCATCATGACTGCCTAGCATAGATTCCTAGGAGGCAAGAGTTACCATTTTCCTTTACTCAGTAGTTATTTTGGTACCTTTACTTTAATGTAATTTCAAAATTACAGAAAAGCAGTGATGGTTAGTACACAGAATTCCACATATCCTGACTGAGGTCCTCTGGCTGTTTATACTTTGTCTCCTGCTCTAGGATTCGCTTTCTCTTGGGATGTGTACACATATGTACGGAGGTTTGTTTCTAAACCCATTTTAGAGTGAATGGCAGACGTGATACTCCCACCCCCTTAAATACTTGGGTGTGAATTTCTCAAGAACAAGAACATTCTTCTATATAATCATAGTTCAGTTATCAAAATTAAGAAATTTCAGTGGTATGATCCAATTCACTTTCATATTAAAATGACATTAATTATTCCCATTATGTTCCTTAGATCTCCTTTCTTGGTATAAAAATATATCCGTTTTCTTTTTTTTTTTTTCCCTAAGATTTATTTATTTATTTATACAAGCACTGGGCACAGTCAGAAGCACGGGAGGGTGAGAGAACTCACCAGAGTCAGAGCGGAGAGCAGAGCAGGCAGAGTGATGAAGCACACTGCTGAGGGGAGCAGCGGGCGGCAGGAGGGGTCTAGAACTGGCGCTGCAGAGGCTATGGGCAGCCTCGCAGCCCAGCGCTCAACCACTGCTCCACCAGAGGGCCCAAAATATATCTGTTTTCAACCATGAGCTCACACTGACTCCTCACACCAGTCTCCACCTCACAGGATTATTCTAGTCTTGTTCTTTTTCCTCATTGAGTCTTCTCGCTCTGACATTAGATACCTGGCTCTTGCTGTTCATGTATTTACTCCTTGTTTGATTCCAGCACACACAGAAAGTCATTTCAAATCACTGAACCATAGCACAGCAAGGGAAAAGCCCTAAGGAGAGTTCAGTATTTTATATACTTTTTAAAAACTTAGGTTGAGAGTCACCAGAATCCTAAGTTACTCGAGTTAGCGCTTCATGCACTCGTGTCAGATGCAGTCGGATGCTCCTGTTCCGCTGCTGCCTGCTTCAGGGCTCCCCCCACTCAGAAATGCCACATGCCACAAATTTCCCTGGCAAATGTTCCACCTTGTATGGTGGGGACGAGGCTGTATACACTATTTTCAGCGGGTTTAGCACAACTGTGTTCTACTAACTCTGGTGCCGATGGGTTCCATCAGCAGGAGTCCTCGGCCCGCAGCTGCAGCCACACTCAGGTGGAAGCCTCGAGTCCACGTGAATTTTGTGATGGCGTCCTACTGCTGACTCTGAAAGAGAAGATATTTTCTGAAGATATGTGCTGTCCAGATGGTGCTGGTGTCTGCGGGGATGCCAGCGCGGGCAGTGGACCCTGTGCCCAGAGCGAAGATTCCAGGATGCTCACTTTGGTCAGCGAGACAGAGGGGGACCCCTTCAGGCAGATGCCCATGGAAGATGAATACATGGACAGGCCCACCCAGGCCCCAGACTCCTTCCTGCTCCTCACTCAGCCTGGAAGCAGGTCCACGCCCCCTTTCTTGGAGCCCCTAGAGGTGGGAGAGAATGACAGTTTGAGCCACTGCTTCACCGGGACAGAGAACACAGTGGATTCTGGAAGCTGCACCTTCATGGAACCCGTGAGCAGGACTGACTGGCCCCCTGTGACCTCCGAAAAGTACTTGCAAAAAGAGGTGGAGCATGGTGGCCACCCACACTGGACAGCCAGCCCCAGCTCTGCAGACGACTGTGCAGGCTGCGGGCACCCTCCGGGGGCAGAGCAGACACCCTTCCTGGGGGCCCCCCAGAGTGGACCCTTGCCCCAGTGCGCCCATGGCATGGGCCTTCCGTCTGTAGAAGCCGCTGATGGGGCCTCGCCAGGAGGCTTGCCCATGGATGGCGCGGACGGCAGTCACCCTGGCTCAGGGAGGGGAGGCCCTGGGCCTGGAAGCCCCTCTGGGGACCAGCCACCTGCATCTGGTAAGCGACTCTCCTACTCTCTCCCTTCTGCTCTCAGAGGTCTGTTCTCATGTGGTGTTTGGGGCAGGCCTCTACCCCATGAGAAAAAAGGGAGTGAAAATTCAGCTTGAGCATTTTCCCGTGATAAATCTCTTGTCAGGATGGGTTTTATTTCTAGGTAGATGTTGAGTTTGGGGATGGTGCCCCCTGCCCTGGTGCCTCGTCTTCTGCCCCTGGGGCTTTCTAGTCCTTTATGCCTGGCCTGTGGCCCTTTGCATTCTGCCTCCTCAGAGTGGGTGACCTCAAACCCCATCATTGGGCTCCCTGAGACAGAGCCAACACTCGCCTCGGACTGACAGAGCCAGCCATCCCCTCAGATTTCTGACATTTCTTTTTTCAGTCACTGGGTCTCTTAAATCTCTCTCAAGAAGGCTTCAATAAATTTCAGGAGGTCAGGCAAAATTGTTTAGTTAATCCTTAATTAATTAATATTTATTGAGCGTAGCATGTTGGTTCTATACCAAATTAATGATGCAGTAAAACTGCCCTTTAATGCTTTATGTGAGAAGCCCTGTTTATAAGCACTGCGAGTAATATATCCACGGAGCCGGGAGAGTCATTTTACAATTTAAAATCCTTATAGAGATTTATCACTGCACCACTGCTTGAGCATGAATAGCCCACTAATTATGATATTAGAACTTTCCTGGCAAGGGTAAAACAGCCTCTTTTATTATGTGGTTTCAAGGAGCTTAGCACCCATGGTGGAGGCTGCCTCTGGCTGGGGGATGGTTGCCCATGGAGGCGTGATCTCTTTGGGATCTTGTGAAAGCTGTAGACACTCTTTCCAGAAGGACGCATATACAGATACGTACTAGAGGCCTCACAGAATCCTCCCACCCTCAAAAAAAATTCATTCATGGACACCCCCACTCCTGCGAGGTGCTTTTTCTTTTCCTCTCCTGCCTCCTCATTCAGACCCACTAGGGCGTGAGCGGTTGACGCAGCTTCTGTGTCCTAAACACAGAGACACCTTGGCCTCCTGCTATTGGGGCTCCTGGCTCATCTGGCAGAACAAGTATTTAATCTGTTTTCCAACATTTTGGTGGGTTTACAGCTTTGATACAGGTTCACTCATGCGGACAGTGTGGGTTCTCATATGGAAAGGAGACAGGTGTCAAAGAACTGATGTGATGACCTCCAAATCTTCGAGAAGATGTTAGGGCATCCCCGAGACTGCACGTGTGGCTCCTGTGCATTTGCTTTACTTGTTTTCTTTTCTAGCTGTCAATGTTCTTCCCGCTGGTCAGAGGGACCCACGGATGCTAGATTTGGGGGCTGTGGGGAGTGGGGGCCGGGTCTCACGTGGCGGTGAGTGTGTCTTGGCCCTAACGAGGGGAGACAGGTTCTTCCGTGGGCGACACCAGGAAGGTGTGATCAGCCGTTCTTGAAAGAACAGCATTGGCCAAATTTAACGAGATTTTTTTCTTAGTATCATGAAACCAAAGTGAGATCTCTCCTCTAAGGAGTTCAACAGTGCCCTCGACTGGTTTTCATTACCTTTTATTTCTCCAGCACTAAACATCTAGGCATGGAGGACAGGGGGAAAGTGTGTCATCAACTAAGTGGTGTTAATTTGCAAGAAGTTTACACTGCTTTTTCTGTCTCTGACTGGTGCTGAGCCATGCAAAACATCCGCGGAGGCCGCCACAAGTGGGCCAAATTCACTTTCTCCTGAGGAGAAGCAGCAGCCAGACTGATTCTTGAGGCTGTGCTGTTCCCTCCATAATTACTTGTACGTGAACAGGCCTTCTGGTTTTTGGTCAAAATAACACTTTCTCATTATTGCTTCTTTTTATTATTTTTTTTGGGGGGGGGGAGAGAGAAATCAAATGTTTTTATTTTGTGTGTGTGTATTCTTTTTTTTAATTTTTTTAATTAATATTTTATTTTATATAATTCTTAAATCATTTTTCACTTTTGCACAATGTATGCATTTTCATTTTGGTAATATTCCCCATACAATTGCACCCCCCCTTATTTTTTTTTAAATAATAAATTTTATTTTTATATTCCCCATACAATTGCAACCCCCTCATTCTGACCCCAATCCCTCCCCTCCCGCCACCCACCCCCCAAAAGTGTCTCTGGTTCATAGTTTTTTGTTGATTTTGATTTTCACTTTCTTATAGTTATTCATTTTCCTGGTCCCTTATTTAAGTTTTCTAGATTCCTGCTATGAGTGAGACCATCCGGTATATTGCTTCTTTTTAATTGTCATCGTTCATGTTCCATGAAATGTGTGAAAGAGGATGGTGCTTGGGTGAAACAGAGATCCAGATCCCATTTGATCTAAAATCCACGGGGCTCAGGCCTGCAGGAAATGGCCTTTTTATCAGCTCTTGGAGCTTTCTATGTGGTGTGTTTTTTATTTTGACTGTTTGTTTTTTAATGTGCACCCAAATCAATTGGTTTCTGGAGAAGCAATGGTTGGACCATCCTCAGTAGGGACGTGTCTCCATTGCATTCAGAATCCTTTTGAAGAGAATGATGGTTCTTCAATCAACACCACAGGTGTCCTTTCAAATTCAGTATGTTGAGGTTATTTTAGCCATGTGTGGCTCTTAAAAAATAGTGAGAATGATTGGCAAACAAAGACCAGTGAGCGAGGAAACACACTGTTAGTTCTGTCTTACATGACCATGTCTTCAGTGATTATCCTGATGCCATGAGAGCGGTTCCCTTGGTTACAAGCCCTTTTGCCCTGGGGTTCGAGAATTCTCGCTGCGTCTAGAGAACTGTATCATGTGGCAGAGAGAACAGCTTCTTATAATTAATGTGTCTATAGTTGGCTAGTGACTTGCTTTTGGCTCCTGAAATCACTTGTTTGGATCAGCTACTTCTGAGCTGGAAAGTTGTCTATTTATAGGGTTCGCAATAATTCCCAGTGAACACTAGCTCCACGTTTGTTTCTCTGTCAAATCTTTCTTGAGGGTCCACTGAGCCAGGGAAGGAAAGCTTGGAAAACAAGTAGAGAATGCGCTGCATGAAAAGAGTAATTTGAGAAGACAAGGCCTTCCTGCTGTTCATAAGTCACTCGCCCACCTGCATTGATCAAGGCCAACCCTGTGCAGGGGAACAGCCCTCACTTTCATGCTTCTGCACCATTAATGTGCTTCCCTGCCATCCCCTTTTCCAGACACCCAGTTCTTCCCATCCTTCAAGTCCCAGCTCAGATGCCACTCTCTGACCCAGAGATGGGCAGGGGCGCTACACGTGCTTCCAGAGCATCCTGGCGTCTTCCTCACAGAGTCCAGCACCCTCGCACATTCATCAGCAACCCGCCTCTAGGTGGCCATGGCCAGTCAGGAGGACCGTGCACGACCTTCCCCACTCCTGATCTGCCCTGGCCACTCCCAAGGTGGCTTAGTCACAGCATGTTAAGTGGATAAATGTCCATCTATTCATTCATTCAGTCAGTCCTGAGTAACGAGAGAATGTGACTCCTACGTCCCTGTCAGCCTAGCTCACTCTCGGCCTCCCACGTCAGTCTCTTAAGGGAGCTTTAAGGAGCTGGGGACGTTAGCTATCCAGGGGACAGGAGGCAGAGATGGCAGAAGGACAGGCGAGCAGACCCATCCAAGTGGTCAGATCACCCAGTTCAGTGCCTGGGAGCCACTGGAGGATGAAGGCGCCCGCCTGCCCTCCACCTCAGTCTCCCGTCCTGGGTCCCACTATCTTTCTTGATATGATCTTTCTGACTTTCCCTCCTGCAGGGACAGGGTTTCCTACCCCATTTTTGTTCTGTCCTCCCAGCCACAGCTCCCGGGGGCAGTGCAAGTCCTCTATCATTGCCCTCTCCCCCGCTGGGATGCCATCCGTGGAGGTGTGTTGCACTTTTAGCTAAGTATTGTGAGGCGGGGATGGACCCTAGGCCTAGCTCTGTGGGGGCAAAATGGCATTTCGTGTTTGGTAGCGATATTCAGTAGTAATTGGTGCGGGAAGCCTGTGCGTGGTTTCAAGCTGTAGGAAACTGGCGTTTAGTCTGTGCGCTTTCATTTCGTCCTCCTCTGTTCTGGAGCGGCCCATTTGGAAGGGTTTCATTTGCTCGCCACTCTCGTGGACTGTCAGGCATGATTCAGAGTGGAACTGTTAAACGCTGCTTCCCTTACTTGTCACTATAGACCCAGTTTCTTCCAAACGTCTAGAACAGAGCTTGCATTTCCATAAAGAGGAAAATCACATGAGAAGCATACGGGGTAAATATATAAGGTTTTGTTTTTTTAATTCCAAAAGAGCCCAGTGTAGCCTGGGTAGATGAGTGTATGTGTGTATATTTTTAGTTCTGTTCCTTGGAAGAAAATCTACATGACAATCGGGTGGTATTATTTGCTAAAGTTCTTGTGATTTAATATTCATACATTTTGCATTTTAATCAACATAGTAAGCTTTTGAGAAGAAAACTGTACATTATGGTGCTTAAAAATGTAGATTCTGCTTGGGACTGATTTCTTAAAATGAAGCTTGTCCTCCCCGCCCGAGAAATAGTCTCCATGGTGTCCACTACATAAAGCGAAGTATAAACATCTTTCTGATTGTGACAGGACACTTCATTTGCTCTTTGTTTCTGTTACTATAAATGCTATTTTTATTTTTTTTTCAAAGGTAAGTTGATATTTATTTATTTATTTATTTCTAGATTTATTTATTTATTTATTTATGCAAGCACTGGGTACAGTCAGAAGCCTGGGAGGGTGAGAGAATTCACCAGAGCCAGAGCGGGGAGCAGAGCAGGCAGACTGATGAAGTACACTGCTGAGGGGAGCAGCGGGAGGCAGGAGAGGTCTGCATGCCATGTGGGACCCTCCTCCGTTGGCCAGGGTGCAGCCGGGGATCGAATCGATGCTGCAGAGGCTGCGGGCAGCTTCGCAACCCAGCGCTCAACCACTGTGCCACCAGGGAGGCCCTATAAATGCTATTTTTAAAGCCTCAACTTCTCTGAAAATTTTTCTGTAGTTAAG